AAATATAAATATAAAAACTTTCCCTGCCTTCTCTTGTTTTTACCTATAGTCAGTCCCATGACTTCCAATACTATCTACATGTAATAATTTTAAATGTATATTTTATATATATATATACATTTTTTTTTAGACAGAGTCTTGCCCTGTCGCCAGGCTGGAGTGCAATGGTGCAGTTTCAGCTCACTGCAACCTCTGACTCCCGGGTTCAAGCGATTCTCCTACCTCAGCCTCCCAAGTAGCTGGGCTTATAGGCGCCCACCACCACATCCAGCTAATTTTTGTATTTTTAGTAGAGACATGGTTTTGGCATGTTGGCTAGGTTGGTTTCGAACTCCTGACCTTAATTGATCGCCCGCCTCGGCCTCCTAAAGCGCTGGGATTACAGGCGTGAGTCACTTTGGCCAAAATATTTTTCTGTTTCCAAACATTTTATATGAGAGGAAAGCAGAGAATAAATCATCTGACACTCTACTGTAAAAAAAATCTTTGTACCTCTTTTCATCTTTCCTAAGTGTACATATGACCAAAATGTCTTTAGGTTGCGGTCCCCCCGTGAAAACTTTACAGGGTGTTGAGTTCTCAGCCACCCTCCTGTCTTTTCCTAGTCCTGGCATTTTAGAACTGTCTGGGGATGACCCAGGATACCCACTGTGGCCATGTCTATTGGAGGGTCTAGTGAGTATCAGCCCCGGGGTCATCTCATCCCCAAGGACAGCCTGAGGTAGGGGGTAGAGTCTCTCAGGGGAGCGGCTGGATGCTCTTGGCCTCAGAGGAATCTCCTGGTATAGTTTCATCTACAGTGGTGACCCCTTAGGGTTATTAAAATTTCAGGACATTAAAATTAATGGACAATACAACATAATGTCGTTAAAGCTACATCATTAAAACTGTTCCTCCAGCCGGAGTTTTTATTCCTCGGAGACACGTTGATGGTCTGCCAATCGGATACTGATATTGAGAGGAAAAGGCAGAAATGGTTTCTGCTCTCTAGATTGTCTCAGACTTGTGAAGAGAGAAAAACTGTCCCAAAGGACAAGGAAAACCCACCCCAGAGAGGATGTGCAAGAACCTG